CTTGAAAAAATAAAGCATGATATTGTGAAAAAAAAAAGAATTTCAAGAAAAAAAAATGTGAAAAAAAATAAGTGAACTTCAAAAGAAAAAAAAAGTGTTCAAATGTTCTAGTTTGAGGTTGATCAAAGAAAAATAATTTAGAGCTTCAATGAAAATTCAAGTTTGGAAAACAAAGTTTGTTTATTCACTCTACTTCTTCATTATTATATCTTATGAGTGAAAATGTAAGTGTTAGGATTGTTTATGTTGTTTGGAGTATATTTGGTTGATGTTAGAATTGGTTATGTAGGAGATGTTGGTCATTATTTTGATCATGGGTTTTGATAGGATTTGGCTCCCTTAAGCATAACTTTTCTCTCACTTGTTCCCAAATGATTCCTACCCTTTACCCTAGCCTTACATTACAAGCTTTGAAGACCTTCCGACCTTTGTGCGTAGAATTGTATGAATGTGAAAGTGTTGTTTATCAATGCAAGTTATGATTTGGCATATTTCGAGTCGACTAGTAGGATTGAGCGTTCATTGTTTTATACACACGAGAGTGTGAGTTGGGAGGGCATTGTTCACATAAAGGGGTTGGATGGAGAACGATCGATTACATATTTTACTCGCCACAAAAATGAGGGTTGAGTGCGTGAGCACTAGTCTTGAATTCTATATGCTCTTGTGGTTTGCTCTATTTGACAAGTGTTAGGGAAGATTGGTAATTAAATGGATTTGATTATTAGATTTTGAAACATGTTTATTTGATTTACCCTGGATCGTTGTGATTGATTTTTATTATTGGGGTGAAGTATGTTTTATATGTTCATTGATGAGCTCTTTGCTTAGGGACAAGCAAAGGTTTGGCTTGGGGGAGTTTGATATGTCCATTTTATATAGTGTTTTACCCCCGTCCCTTGGTCGTTATTAGTAGTGTTTTTGGCTCTTTCGGGCCACTTTTATTACTAATTTGTGTGTTCTAGTGTTTTCGTAGTTTTAGTTATATTTTACAGGAAATTGCACTCTCAGAGCATTTTCCCGGGCTTTATGGACCAACTACGGAAGCTAGAAGGACACGACCACTTTAGGAGCCTAAGATCGGTGAGAGCCGGTGATTAAGGGCTCGGTAATCGGGATCTCGAGGCATTTTGACCAAGTGATCGAGACCCTAAGTGGACATCCGGATTGGGCCGAAGAAATAAGCCCAATCGAAGTTCCAAGCCTCGAGGTGAAGCAAGGGCCCGATCGGGCAAGCTTAGCTCGATCGGGCAAGGCGCGCAAGAATATGCTGGTGCGTCGCCAAAGGCGCGCCCGATCGGGTGATCTGCTAGCTCAATCGGGCGCGACTGCTGAGAAGAGCAGTGCGAGAAAAAGGCACGCCCAATCGGGCGGCCTCTAGCTCGATCGGGCGCGTGTTTCTGGAAGAGCTATTTTGTCGAGCAATTAGTTTCTAATTAGGAAGTTGTTTTAGTTTTGTTTAAGTACGCTGGAGGACGATTAATTTCACTTATCTTCTTCCTTAGACTTTCTCTCTCTACTTAGGATCTTTTCTCTCTCTTAACTCTTCTCTCAACTCTTGTTCTTGATTATTTCCATTAATACAGATTAGTTTTGTGACGATTTCTCTTCTCTTAATCTTATTTCCCTTCATCATGACTTATTTTATTGCTTTGATTTGTTTAGTTTTTAATATGTGTGAGTAGTTTTATTTCTAGGGTTTATGGGGATCCATAAATAATATGAAGGGGTAATTTGTTGTTGTTAATTATCAATGCTAGATTAATTTCCTATCGATTGATTTCATGCTCTGTGACTAGATTTGCGCAGATCTTTTATGAATGAGTTTAACAATATTGATTCGAGATTCGACATATGAGAATTGATGTTTAGGTCTAGTTTCAATAGGCAGGTTAATTTATAAATGGTTAAGTTGAGATTCGACAGATGAGATTTAATACCGGTAAATTAATTGTGTGATTGTAATACGTATCGAAAGCCCTTTACAACCTGGTTAATTGATGCATTGATGATTGACTATTATTGATTATTGGTATTGCATGATAATTTCTTATTGAATTGTTTTAACGTTTTACAATTGCGGCTTGTAAAAGTATAGCAATATTGAATTGATGAATCGAGCAGATGTTAATTTGATATTAAATGCTATTTTCAATAAGAACTTAGATCTAGTAAATTGCGATAGCCTGTTAGATCTATGGTGATTAGTAAATTGCGAGAGCCTGTTAATCATGTTATTTATGCAATGTCAATGATTGATTACTATGTTTTACCCTGGAGTATTATTTATTGGTGAACCTATATCCTAGATCCTTTCATATATTGTTTTCTCTCTATTCTCAATCTTAGTAGTTTAGTTTCTTATTCGAATATAAATATTGGTTACTTAGATAATTTAGATTATAATAATTAATTAGGAGTAAAAAGACTTATTTCCCTATGGAGATCGACCATACTTCCCTATCTACTTTAGTTAGAGGACTTAGGTATTTACTTTTGATTAGGGGATACGACTTTACCCTGTTAATTGGTCCACATATATCCCCTTGTATACGTTCTAGGAAAGTAATAGACTCGGAATTTATTTTGGCTGGTGATGGCCGAAGTATTAACTTGCCTATTGAGCAAGCAACACATGAAAAACTATTATGAAGAATCTGCTGGCTCTTCAATGAGTGTCCACATGAATTTTCAATTATCTTTCGCATCATTATTGAACCGGGATGGCCTAACCGGTCATGCCAAACTTTAAAGTCATCAGTAAACTTCTGGTTTACTATAGCATGTGATTCAATTGTATTGATTTTGTATAGTACAAACCAGTGGAGAATGTAGGTAATTTCTCCATAATAAGTTTATTGCCTTGAGTTACACTCGTGATTTGAAGAAACTCATTACTTCCTTCACTAATTGTCTCAATATGGTATCCATTTTTTCAAATATCTTTAAAACTTCGTAAATTTCTTTGAGACTTAGGGGAGTATAATGCATCAATAATTTCCAATTTTGTTCCCATAGGCAATAAAACATTTGCTCTTCCGGAGCCTTTTATAATTTTTGTACTACCTGATATAGTATTCACATTTTTTTCTTTCATCATCAATTGCGAAAAATATTTCTTATTCTTAAGTATGGTGTGAGTAGTAGCACTATCAACTAGACATAAATCTTCACCATTGATTGATGATTGAGCTCCAAGGGGATTCATATTCTAATAGAATTAAAGGAATTAAAATAAGATTCACAAAATCAAATCAAATAACTTAAATCAATAAATGACTAAATAATGATAATATGAAATATCCGAAAACATAAAATTTTCCAAAACATAAAATGTCCGATAAAGCATAAAGTCATAGAATTACGATAAAATTATAAAATAAAATAATTGCAAACTAATTAATAGAGTTTATTCGCCAGTGGATCATAATTTATTCAATTGTTTTCGAATAGGTAAGAAATCAGCTGCTTCTAGGTGAGTTGTATCACCGCAATCAAAATCACCTTCGCCATCTTCATACACCAAATTTGTTTCCAATTTCTTTCCTTTCTGTTTGATTGATTGTTGATAAAGGTCTACTAGTTGTTTTGGTGTGCGACACACACGTGACCAATGACCTTTTCCTCCACAACGGTAGCATATATTTTCATTTTTATCCTTTTCATTCTTACTTCCATCTTTATTGTCCCACTTCTGGTGAGGGTATGAGTTCCTAAAATGACCACCTCGACCACGACCATATCCACGTCAGCGGCCGCGACCACTGATAAGCGGTCGCACACCTAACAAAAATAATAAAAGCCTAACTATCCTGCTAATATGTAGTAGGGTAAGTCAGGGTCGATCCCACAGAGAAGGTAGTATCAATATTGGATTACTATGAACTAAAACTAGTCGAGTCAATCAAAATAAGGTTGAAAATATTATACTACTAAAGCAAGAAAATCAAATAATAAAAACATCTAGAATTAAGTATCACCACTAGCATAATCAATACAAGACTAATTCTTACCCCAACCAATTAAGTATATGTTCACAAGGAAAAGTAATCCCTAATAGTACCAAAGGTCTCTTTCGAGTTATCAATGGCTTCTCTAATAACAATCAAGCCTATTTTCATGGAATCATGCAAATTAGAGACAGTAAGCACATTACTCTAACATCCTAATCATCCATTCAACTATTTTCATGATGAACTTCAAACCCTTAATTGATCTATTCAAATCCGTTAAAACCCAACTCTCGTTGCGATTAAAACAAAGGAATAATAACAATACCAATTATTTTTAATCTAGTATTGGCATAAGCACAATCAATTAAGCATGAACAATATAAGAATTAATTGAGAATTTAAAAGAGTAAATCAAGTATTAATCATGGCTAGGGTTAAACCTAACCCTAGAATAATAATCTACTCACAAACAAAAGACATATGAATCAAGATTGAATGCAAGAATGACATCATTAAACTAAATTACTAGAGTAATTAAAAATAATGAAGAACAAAAGAAAAGGAAATAACTACTAAATGTCAACGTTGCTGCTAGAATGCATGACGATCGAGGTACGCCTCCTTCAATACTAAAGTGGCGACCCCCCCTTTAATTACCCTAAGTATCCACTATATATAGGCAAAGATATTGGAGGAGTTAGAATATAATTAGGACTCTAAAAATCTAACCAAAACATTCTCCAATTGCTAATTATTATTTGGCCGCGGGTAGGCTGCAGAGCTCCTTCCTTGGCCGCAGGTAGGCTGCGGAGTAAGCTGCCATTTAGCTCTTTGAATGGAATTCCTTTCACTTTGTCACACAAAATCATCGTCAATTCGTAGCTCAACTCGAACAACAACTTATTCCTACAAAACACAGAAAAAGAACCCGAGGAGAGCAATATTGAAAATATATAATAATATGATGCTCAAATAAGCAATTGTAGGAAGAAAGCACGACAGATATCATATAAATATGGCATATAAAACGTGTATTTTATCGTGCTATCAACCACGACCTTGACCACGGCCTCGACCACGACTGCTGGCGTGATCTCTAGCCTTTTGCTCTTTCCCACTATGGGATGTCGCATTCGCTTCGGGGAATGGAGTAGAGCCAGTTGGGCGTGATTCATGATTTTTCATTAATAGTTCATTATTTTGCTCAGCCACAAGGAGACAAGATATCAATTCTGAATATTTTGTAAAACCCTTTTCACGGTATTGTGTCTGCAGGATAACATTGTTTGCATGAAAAGTAGAGTATGTTTTTTCTAACATTTCTGCATCCGTGGTTTTCTCTCCACATAATTTCAATTGTGACGTAATTCTAAACATGGCTGAGTTGTATTCACTCACAGACTTAAAGTCTTGTAATCTTAAATGTAACCAATCATAACGAGCTTTTGGTAATATCACTGTTTTCTGGTGGTCATACCTTTCCTTATGATTACTCCAAAGGATTTGTGGTTCTTTAACAGTCAAGTACTCAGCCTTAAGGCCTTCATGAAGGTGATGGCAAAGGAATATCATGGCTTTAGCTTTGTCTTGGCTTGTTGCTGTATTGTTTTCTTTGATAGTGTTACCAAGTCCTTTTGCATCTAAATGTATTTCAGCATCTAACACCCAAGACAGGTAGTTGTTTCCAGTAATATCAAGAGCAACAAATTCGAGTTTTGCAAGGTTTGACATGATTCACTGGTTTTCTGATCTTGATTGTTGTAGAGAGTGGTGCTGATAACGTGTTAAATATAGAAGAGAAATATATAGAGAGAGAGAAATATATTGTTCGTTGTTATATTCTGCCATCCAGTACGGGATATATATACATGAATAATATCTAGAGTTTCATCAACGGATAAGATCAAATACCCAACTCTAGAGTATTCTAAATGGTACATGGGATAATAGTCATCCACAATTAGATATTTCATAACACAATTTGTTTTATTTATTTATTTATTTATTATTTTTTTATACGACTTTGGTCAATTCACTTATTTTTAGTACTCCCTCCGTTTTATAATTAGAAGCTAATTTCTCTTTATTACGTGAATAATAAATGTTAGAAATAGGCTTATAATTATGAAATAGAGAGAGTATTAATTAATGGTGCTAATTATTGTGTGAAGCTGTTAGGAATATAGGAAAATATATTATTGTGATATATTTTTCATATAGATCTTATGATAATATATTTAGGATAATAAATCTATCTTAGTAATACAATTCAAGCTATTCTCTCATAAATAATTTGTCATGGTATCAAGAGCAGGTTAAATCTTGGGACCGTTCACACAAATACTCTCCCTGTCGGTGGGTTAGAATATTAAACCCACCGGTGGGATTCATAAATTTGCTTCTGCTATGCAAAAGTATTGCTCTTTGAAATTTCTATTTTTTTATCTTTTTTTTTATGGAATAACCATGTGATACGTGGGTCATTATTGGTGTATGTGATCAATATGAATGATCATATGTGATTTGGTTAGGTTGAAGTGTTTGAGTGTGCTTCCTCCATTATTGCATCTCCATGGAGATGAAGAAAAGCCATGTTTGGCGTATTGTTTATTATTAAAAACAAAAAAAAAATTGCAAAAGATCACGGACACCAGCGAAGGGCCTGGCAAAGAAGATCACGGACACCAGCAAAGGGTCGTGGCAAAGAAGATTACGGACAACAGCAAAGGGTTGTGGCAAAGAAGACCACGAACACCAGCAAAGGGCCGTGGCAAAGAAGACCACGGACACCAGCAAAGGGCCGTGACAAAAGACCACGGACACCAACAAAGGACCGTGACAGAAGACCATGGACACCAGCAAAGGGTCGTGGTAGCAAAAGTTCGTTTTTTTAAATAAAAAAAATAAAATAAAATTTGAACGCGACATCAATAGAGAGGTGCAACTCGATCGACTTCAACAAAGTGCGAATTTTCAATCGTAACGTTTGTGTTACTGCCGTTACGATTGCGGGAGGGTGTTAGGAATATAGGAAAATATATTATTGTGATATATTTTCTATATAGATCTTATGATATTATATTTAGGATAATAAAATATCTTAGTGATATTCTAAGATAGATTTATGAAAATTTATATGATAGAGTTTATATTGTGTAGGTTATCTTTTTTAGGCTATAAATATTAGCCAAGATCATCAATACAATTCAAGCTATTCTCTCATAAATAATTTGTCATAAGCTATTGGCTATACCCAATTACCTAAAAAAAAGATTTTTAATGATGTCAAATCAATGTAGTCATGTACAACTGTACAAGGTACCATCTCTAAAGAAGAAGGCCAGAGCCTTGTGCCCTTATGCATGCTCAATTTCAATAAAGAGTACTTATAATAACGTGTATAATAACATAATGTACACACCTAGCTACTTTTTTTTTACCTAAAATAAATAACGAGGTAGTTATTAGAATTTGTTATATATTTTCGGGTGTATCATATGCCCAACTAATTTAAAGTTAGTTTTTGTTCTTCATTTTCATTTGATGATAAAATGAAAAACAATTATTAAAATGAGAACAAATACTCATGGGTGTACGGTACACCCGGGTGTATATAATAACCTTTAAGGTAGTTCTAATTTATCACATTAATTGATAAACAAAATTCGTTTATCAAGTTGGAAAATCGTAAATAAATCAGAAAATATCTGGGTTAGCATGTTCGTAATTATATCAACAACTTTAGGGACAAAGTTTAATAAAAAAACTGTTGATTTATTTAAGGAGATAAACTTGTATTTTCTCATATAAGGAGATAACAATTTAAAGATTTAACTTATATATATGATAAAGTCTATATACGTAGTATATGAAATATAAGTATTTAACACATTTGTCAAATTCTCAAATCCAAATTCATGTGTGATGGCCGACCAAATTATCTTCACAACCACCGGATTATTTAATATACCTCGACATATTGTATAAGTTTACCTACTCTTCTAATTCATAATAATACATGCTATTTTGGATTATTTCCCCAAGTTATATAAGCTAAGGCAGAGTTGACCAATACTCCCCAAGAAAAATCCATGCACTCTTCAATTTCCTTAATTTTCAGATTTATATTATTTATTTATTTTTGAATTTTTTTCAGATTTATACTTAGCATTTTTTTTTTACTTAGCGTTACTTAATTTGTGTTACTATTCATTTATTTCAAACTATATATTAAACTTCAATTACGCAACTTAATAATTAACAAAATTATAAATTGACCATGTATGAATGTGCTCATAACATTAAAATGACCGCATCGACAATCTAATATATATTATATATATAAAGGTAGGGTAACACATTTTAGTGTATCCAATTAAATACGATATTATTATTTTCTTTTAGAATTAAATAATTTAAATGACACACAAGCAAAATGGGCGAATGAGATTTTCCAATTTAAATTAATTAAATATAAATATTATCTTTTGATATAGGAATTTTATCTAAATATATAACAAATTTTAGCACATAAATATATATATAAAAAAATTTATTTTAAAATATTCAAACAAACCGCCCGGACTTCAATCTAATCATACATTCTTCTATTTATTCCATGTAAAACCTAAGCGCGAACTATGAACACGAGTGGCCTGATGCATTGTGCAATTAAAACTAACAGTTTAGTAGTATATGCATGTAAATTTCTTTCAAAAAAAAAAAGGTATATGCATGTAAATACAAAGTGTAAGTAATTTGTAATACAAGTTTCTCTTAGTGATAAACAAAAATTAATTGTTTATTAATTGACATTTTCATATATAAATCAATAACTTTTTCATTAATGTGGGTTCTCCACAGTTGATGGCGTGATTGGATAAAATTATTTATATGTTTACAAAATTGTCATGTGATAAACAAATTAAAAATTATTTATCGTTGGAGGGCAAGCTCTTAATAACTAGCTACTCCGCACTCTTCTTAAGAAATTCCATGACTTTGGTATCATAAGCTGAACAAGCAACCCTAAAGCCTTTAAACCCAGCTGCTTTAGCCAAGGCTTGAAACTCTTTCTTAGTCCTCTCTTTCCCATTTGGTACAGCCATCATTATCGTGTCGAATTGAAACGCAAATTTCGCGGCATGGCCGGTTTCTACTTCTTCAGGGAGGACATGCTCGCAAACAATTACTCTTCCGTCATCCGGAATTGCTTCATAGCAGTTCTTCAGGAATTTTATGCACTGCTCGTCACTCCAAGCGTGACATATCCACTGAAATATTACCATACTTTAGAGAAAAAAGTAAAATAAAGTATAATTGCAGAAGCTATAGTTGGATCTAAAACCTAATCTCTGATACCATGTTAGATTTTGTGAAACAAATTGGAATGATTTAATTTCCATTGATCAATACATATATACGGGTTATAATATGAGTCATAACTTGGGTTAATAAACCTCAAAAGATAAATATACAATACTCACATAATATATCCAAAATTGCGATAAAATTTCTTTTCATATATTCTGTCACAAATCTTAGAACACCTAGCCAAAAAAATTAAACTTGGATCGCATGAGGTACTAATGATACATATATTGAGAAATGGAGGACGTATAGTTTTTAATTTCATCATTTCTACAACATTGTTACGTACGTACACTACTAAATTATTACATTTAAATTTATAAGATCTTATAAATTAATAAATCTAACTTTTGAGGTAAAAGTAGCTTTAAGTAAAATTTATAAGAGTTACTAATCAACGTATTAATAAGCACTTGTTTTATCAAGGTCATACAAGTAAGGTGTCAAGATTTATGACTTAAATTTTTGATGAATTTTTTTATACCTACATACATATTATGGATCGGAGTAACATTTAACAGCTAGTACAATAACTAATAACAATTATTTTGTTGAATAGAGACTCACCTTCATGAAGACAGCATCACCTTTTGGAATACTCTCAAACATGTCTCCTCCAACATGTTCCACACCTGTACACGAAAATCTCGCAAGTATATTAGCTTATATAATTATATTACTATTACTCAACTCCGTATGTTCAATTTTTTTTTAATTTTTTTTTAGAGAGCCATAAGGGCGAGTGATGGTTACATATGATCCTAGTCATCATTTCATACTTCATACCTGTACAAGGTGGAGCGACGTTGATGACATGAGGCAGATCAAAATTGATGCCACGAACATTAGGATACTTTGAAAGTATCTTAGTAAGAGTAGCTCCGTTACCTCCACCAACATCGACCAAGGAGGAGAGATCCTCGAATCCCTTGTAGGTTTTAAGGATTTTGTCCACGGTAATTGTTGAATGACTAGCCATTGCATTGTTGAATTTCTTATTCATATCCGGGTTTTGCCCGTTATAGACATAGTGTGACACACCGTATGCTCTTTCAAATGCATGTCCTCCTTCCAAAATTGACTCCTTTAATTGATAGCTGCAATAAATATGATGAGATAGTTATTGTTCAAGCATGAACATGAAGTATTTTTAGAGATAGATGGAGGAAGCATATGTTTATAATTATTGAATAATAAACGTGATGTTTATAAGATTATTTCATATTTTTATCTTATTATTATGTTCGTTATTAAATTATTGTGGATGCTAAGACTTTATATACACGGTTTATTGATAGAGTATGAGCTGCAGATCCAGAAAAAATATTAACAGGATTAAATAGCATTTGATAAATTTTAATGGGGTCATTTGATAAAAATACAAGTAACTTTTAAAGGTAAATTTTTTCTTTTATCATTTTCAAGTGGGGTCAAGGGACCCCATTCATCAAATACATGTGCATCCAGTACTACAAAACTTGAGTTTTTAGTTGAGTTAGTTCTTTAAAATGGTATCAAGAGCAAAATGAGGAGGTCAATGCTACATTTATATTTCAAGCTCAAAAGGCTCTCATATAAGGGGTTGTCAACGCATGTTTTTAAGGATTAATAACTCTAGTTAACAGATATTGTTAAAAGCAGATAATTTAATAAGATACACGTGTTACGTTAAATACCTGCTATCAATAATAATCTTGGAAATACTAGCCAAAGGAGCCAAGCTAACACCATTGTCATCCTTAATCAAGAATTTACAAACGGGAGCTAGGCCATAGAACCTCTCGACGAGCCCATCAGGAAGGCTCCTGGTGGTGCAAGTGAGGATGGAGTGGCTAGCTAGGAGGCGGAGCATGCGGTCTAGCATGGTGGCCGCCTCCGGATTCTTGGCGGGCAAGTGTGCCACGATCTCCGTGGCAGAAACTTGGCCTCCGTTAGAGCCGATTTTCTTGATGATTTCGAAAACTTCGAGCTCAAGGATGGTTTGTAGTACGATTGGAGTTACTGAAGAATTTAAAAGAGACAATGCAAATAATGAACACGCATTATTTTCCTCATCTTCATCATGTACTCTCCCGTTTTGGGTTTGCATTTTGGATGAAGACATTTATTTTGAAGTGATAAAATAAATTTTTAGGTAGTTTGATAGGAGAGAAAAATAAAGAGTGTATTAATGTCTTAATGATTTATGTAGGTGCAAGATGTAAGAAAATTGTGATTCTACTCCTATGAATTTAGCAATATTTATTGTTTCGGGTGAAAACAATGGGACCTTGCCGAAGGTCCGCTGAAACGGAGAAGACTGGATTCGGTCCAAGTTATGCTGGGCCGAAGGTTTCCTGCACAGTAAACACACGTAAACTAGCCTCGGGGGTGTTGCCGAGGAAGGCCCCTCCGATGCTAAAGTCAGTACAATGTGTAGAAAGAGAACACTATGCAAGAGAATTAGTTGCTTGAGGCTTTGCTTGAATATATGAGAATATATGAATCTATCAATCCCTCCCCTAATGTATGAATATTGATGGCTTTTATACCTCTTCATACATGGAGAGGTTGGGCCTTTGCCCAATTGGCTTGCTTTGAGGGCTGACCTTTGACTTTAGCACAATTGGAGAGTTGAACCTTGACCTTGGGCTTTTAATTGGATCATTTAATGCCTAGGCCCAATTGGACTAAATTGGACCCAAACAACTTGCCCCCCAGACCCGATTTGGAAGGATGATGGGTCGGGTTTGATTTAATTCAGAAAAGGAGGGAAGTAAATGATTTAATTAATCCAAAAATTTGAATTTAAACCGTAATTAATGAGATAACAACGGTTAAGGCGGATGATGGTGGAAGTTGGACGGATAATGGGCAGTTTAATCGCAAGGTCGTGTGTTTAACGGTTACTTAGTGGGGTATTTAAGAGAAATTGAAACGCGGACTCCCCGTATCCCATTCCTGGAGATATAAACAGAGGCGTGTCATCTCTCCTCACTTATTCACCAACACAAACCCAGAATTCTCGAGAGAAACCAAGAACCCGCATCAAAACTTCGCAAATTCCCCGAGCATTAAGCTTAGAAACTGAGACTTGCCACTACGAACTCGTAAATCGACAACTTTCGCTTCAGATTAAGGTAAATTCCTTTGATTTCAGTTTATTTTTCTTCGAATTCGAACTCCTTCCCTTTTTTTTCGACTTTTTTCTTCGAAATAATCAATGGCAAGAGGAGTTAGAGGTAGAGCCCGTGATCCAAGAAGAGCAAGGACAATTCCCGATCCTAGGAACAGGATTGGGACCTGGAATGGACAAAGGCCAGAGTCTGACCCTGCTGAAGGGATTAGGGCGACTCCAATTTCCTCGGCTCCTCCTCAGAGAACGGAGGGGCCGAGCGCTTCTGGACGGGACGATGAAGTTCCCGCTGTCCTTTGGGATATCCTCCCCGGGTTTTCAGAGTGGGAGAATGCCGAAGTAGCTTCGGCCATGATAAAGAACCGCCCCTACTCATGGTGGGTGGAGAATGCCGAACAATATCGGTTTGCCGAGCAAATTGAGTTGCATTACGGCATTTTTGAAGTTGATGGGTATTGGTGCCGAATGCCCGCGGCATCCGATAGAATCCATCGTCCACCCCCGGGGTATGTGGGGGTGTACACAAGACAGCTTCAGTACGGGCTGAGGTTCCCTTTGGACGTATTCGTCCGAGACTTGCTGATCCATTACAATATCTCCCTATGTCAGTTAACTCCCACCAGCATCCGAAGGGTGATGACATACTTATGGGTCTGCAAGTTCTTCAAGTATGTGCCGAACCTGCACTGCTTCAAAAAGCTTCATCGGCTAGTGTCAAATATTCAAAGTGGGCACGGAAGCCATGGTTCTGGGTGGTACCAGATTGAGTCCCGGCCCCAGTACCTAACCATGTGGCCGAACGACTCTTCAGACAAGGACTGGAGAGGTCAATGGATTTGGGTTAGGGCACCCACAGATCCGGGCCACCCTTGCGTCTTCAGCGCTCCCCGGTACCTTGCTGAGCCTGATCCCGACATGGGAAGTCTAGGTCCCCCCGCAGATAACGGGCCGGATCCGAACCTTGATCAACAACATATCTTCGGCAAGCTGCCGAACCGGGGGGGCAGCGGCCGAATGCAGCATATCCCGGAGACTTGGCTCCCCGATGCGCATTATGTTTTCCAAGAGAACATGCTAGCAGCTGTTGGCCTCAGCCGAAAGTTTAAGGATGGTAAGCTTCTTCGGCTGGGGCCGAGGCTTTTTAATTATCTCTTTTTCTTCTCTCGCTTCGCTTTTTTATGCTGTGCCAACCTATCTGAACTGACCTTTCCCCTTCTCTTTTTCAGAGCGGGACGAGACCAACGTTGGCATTAACTACGCTCGTCTTGGTGTCAACCGAGAACGAGTTGTAACTGATCGGGCCCCGTCTATCACTGAACCGAGGCATAGGGAAGTTCATCTAGACTCTTCCCACTTCCAAATTGAGGCTGTTGCTCTGTATCAGAGGCAGAAGCCTTGGTGGAAGAAGAGAGACCCCTGGTTTCAGCTGCTGGACGAAGAAGCTGAAGCTGCCCGTACAGCCGAAGAGGTTGCACGGGTTCTCGAAGCTTGCGAAGGAGGAGAAGGGTCCTCCAGAGCTGCTGAAGAAGAAGCTGCAGCTAGGGCAGCTGAAGAAGACGAGGCTTTGCTGAAGACCTCGGTGAGCTTTCAGACTTAACTTTGTCTTTCTTCTTTTTTTTTTTTTTTTTTTTTACTCACATTCTTCCTCCCCCCTGTCTGTTACAGTCTGAAGAGAGTAACAGACACAGAGAAGGGAAAGCCCCTGTTCGTCCCGAAGACCAAATACAAGAAGAGTCTTCAGACTCAGACATGGACGAGCAGCCTCTTCAGAAAAGGCGTCGAAGAATGGCCATCATCGGCCCTCATGACTTTCAGCGGAGGCCGATGACCATCGGCGTTGAAATAAGGGAACCCGAGGAAGGCAATGGATCGCCGAGGGTTCCCCGGCCACCACCCCAATCACCTCAAAAGACCCCTCCGCCACCTCCTGAGATGGAGGTGGATTAGAGAACTCCCGAATCTAAGGGAGGGGTCCAAGAAGCAATTCAGGAGAGTGCTGCTGAGCACAAAAATAAGGATGCCGTGATGCCCAGTGCTGAGGGTTTCACGGCAGACATTGCAAGAGAGGTTGAGGCTTTCGTCCTCACCCCTGAAGAAGAAGAGGTCATAGTAATTGACTCTTCTGAGAAGGATGATGCTGAGCCATCTAAAGCTAAAGAAGCTCCATCGTCATCCTTTCCTTCTTTCCAGACTCTGAAATCTGGAGAAATGGGTTTCTCGGCCCCCCGAATTCCAATCCCAGTGGGGTCAGAACCATGAAGGTGCTGCAGCCTACTTCGGCGATTTTGCTGGCATGTCCGAAGTAGATAGGGCAAGAATCTGGTCGCTGAAGGCCACTGCTGGGATGGGCGAATCCAGCAGATCAGTTCCTGACCCAGCCAGGTCTAACCAACTGCTGATGATGCAGGTGATTTTCCTTGCCTTTATTTCCTCTAAAATTCAGCTCTATTTTTATTTACCTTTATTTTTTTAATTTGTGCTCCTGTTTTCAGTTCGTGCACAATCAGACTCTCACTGTAGAGCTGATAGATACCCTACAAGATAGGGTAGATGCTGCCGAGCACGACAAGAAGGTAGCTGAGGAGGAATTAAAGCTTGCTAAGCTGAAGCAAGCAGCAGCTGAAGAGAAGCAGCAGAAGGGTGAGGAGTACGAGAAAAAAGCTGCTGAAGCCCTCAACACCTTCTGCGACGCTATGGAGAAGGAAGTTTTTCCCCCACTGATGGAAGGGGAAAAATTCCTCCAGGAGCACATGGGAGTGGACGTCTCCAAATTCAAGGCTGCCGTTGAGAGCCGTATTCAGGAAGGAGCTGCTGCACAAGCTGAAGTGCAGCAACAACTAGAAGCTCTTGAAGCCAGCCGAATGGCTGCTGAAGAGCTGCTCCAGGCCAGGGATGACCAACTCTCAGAGGCTGCTGCTGCTGCTGCTGAAGCTCAGAGAGCTAAACTCCATAAGGCTGAGGATCAACTGATGGCCAAAAAAGTTGAAGTGGCCCAGGCTCAGACAAAGGCTTCCCAAGTTCAGCAGGAGCTGAATGAGCTGAAAGGTTCCTCCTCCAAGCTCGCCGATGAGCTGAAGAAATCCAAGGAAGACTTGGAGGAGACCCAGAAGAAGCTGGCTGATGCTGAGGCTCTACTCAAAGTCCGTGTCTATACCCAGGAAGAATATGAAATGGGTTTCAGAAACGGGTTCAGAGTATGCCGAAGAGTCTGCCTTCATGCTGAGCCGAAGCTGGACTGCTCCAAATGTGCTGAATGGGTCCAGAATCCCGAAGACCCTCATATGAAGTATGCAACTCCAGTCGAAGCTGAAATTCTTAAGGCTGAGGAAGCCGAAGAGGAAGCTGAGAGAATGGAGTTGGAGGCTGAACAGAGGGAAAGGGAGGCTCGGCAGAGTGCAAAGCCTGCTTCTTCTGCTGCTGGGGCTGAGGCCACCATGGGGCTCAACAACGCTGATCAGTCTGATCCTCGGGCTGAAGCATAGGAACTCGGGCAGTCGTCTTCTGAATCTTGCGGTTCATCATGCGCTTAACTTTAGACTTGCCGCTTTCTGAATTTTTTGCCTTGTTTTTTGCTTCAGCTTGCCTTGTCGTACAACAGTTTATTTTTTTGCTTATGTACGTATTTCGGCAGCTGTTATTTTCCGCTTGTGGGCGGCTGCCGATACAGTTTATCCAGTATCCATTGCTCGAATGGTGAACTGGCGGGTAGCATAACGGCCTTGCCCTTGTTCCTGGCCGAAGGGACCGCGCTCCGCCCTCTTAGAGAGGTAGGAGTGGTTTTCGTCCCTGGCTGGGAAGTCTGAGCCTCGGCTGCAGGGAACGAGAGGAGACTGCGCACGCTCGGTTCCTTGCCGCCGAGTCGGTCAAGGACGCTTCGGCGAACAGTCTCAGGTTCTCGGTGAGTAGATTCTGGCCGAGAAGCTGAGCTGCTGCTCTTATGCGCTTCTGGTCTTGAGGATGAGGATCCTTTTAAAAATTGAGGGTTCTTTTTCCTCTCTTTTTCATTTTTCCAGGAATCCTCTTCCCACTCTTCCAGTTCCCGGAAGGAAGGAAGCTTCCCACCATCATGGTCTAACTTCCTCTGCTGATGCCGGGTATGCGG